CTGAGGGAGGGGGGGCGCGGGGGGAGGGGAGCGGCGCGGAGCGGGCCCAGCCGGACTGCGCACGCGCGAGCGGGGCCGCCCGCCGCTGGGAGCTTTTTGGCGGGGGGAGGAAGGGCGTGAAATAGGTCCCGGCTGCGCTGCACTGCGCCTGCGCCGCCTGGGAGGCGGACTGGCATTGCACACGTGCTCCAGCCTCGTTCTGCTCCAGCGGGATGGACGGGACAGCTGTGGTTCCCTACTGGCTTTGCCAGCTTCTGGATGGGTAACTCTTAACATCTACTGCTAACGTTCAGTCTGCTCTTTCCCAGCAGGGTGTGTTGCTGCCATAGCCACAGGGTTGGGGGCGCGGTGTTCGCCCTTCACAGCCCCAGCAGAGCGGCAGGGATGCGCCGCGCTCGGGCTGCGGGCCCTCACAGGCCTGGGCTGCACTCCTTGCACATGCTGTCATGCACCACGTGTCTGAGCAGGGGGCGGCTTATAATCCTGCCCTGGAGTGGGGCGACTTGGAGGCACGTGACGAGTGCTTTGAAGCCTCCAAAATTACCCCCTTGGTCTGAAGTCAAAGCAGGAGAGAGTCCCACCTTCTAGAGTACCTGTCGGTCTCTAAGGTGCGAGTCTGCCCTGCCTTCTGCATGACATGCATGTCTCAGGGCAGGGCAGACTCGCACTTTCCAAAGGGAGAATTATGTGTTTTGAATTAATTTTTTAATCCTCTTGTCTCGCATTCGCTTGGCGACGCGTTTATTATTGCAGGCCTGGTTGCAAAAGTCAGCTTTGCCTTTGGGCTAGGGAGGGGTTAGGTCTGAGGCAGTTTGGGGCTCTGCAGGAACTCATCCTGCTGCCTGATTCAACCTTTTCTCCTGATCTGGGAGCTTTCTTTTCTACCTCTGTGATGGACAGCTCCCCCGTGCCTGCGGCATGGATTTGTCAGTGATTCCTGAGTTTAGGCCCATCCTGCAGGTATTGGGATGCTGGCAGGATCAGGCTGCAGTGCCTGGTGGATAAGGACAGGCACTATGGATTTGCCTGTGGGAAGGCATCAGCAGGGCCATGATATGATTGCAAGAGTCCCTGTTGCTGAGGGAAAGGCATTCTCCATGAGACTACGCTCCCTTAAGGGCTGATGGTTTCATGCTGAGCTATGATATATTGCTGTAGTCCAGCTCGGAGATGGCAAAAACATGCCAATGGCGCTAGGTCTGAGTTCACCACGGTGGTACAGTCTCCCAGGTGTCAGAAAGCATCACTCATGGATGCAGCTTTATGGAAGCTAGTGTCAGTCTGAATCGAGCCGCTCTTGGGCTGCTGTACAACTGAACCAGCATTGGACGTGTGTCCTCGAACAAGCAGGCTGGGAACTCCTCTAAGCAGTCAAATCATCAGACTCCCGAGCGTGATGTGACTGGAAGCTCCTCCGAGGGTTTCTTCCAGCCACCCAGTGAAGCCTCCCACTTGCTGGGGTTGTTTTTTTCCCTTTTCTGCCATTTCTGGATCTCCTCGAGCAGGTCGTTTGGCATGTGTGGTATCCAAGAGTGGCGGAAGGAGCTACCAGCTTGGAGTCCTTAATGTGACGTGACCTGAAAAAGCCTGAGTTTCAAGTGGGAAGAGCTTAGCCCTTTCTGAAAAAAAGCCCTGGAATAGAGGCAGCCAGAATCGCTTGTTGGGGTTTCATGTTTGATGGTTTCCTATAGCTAGTCAGTGAATCCCTTCTCCCCTGCCCTCTCCCTTCTATTTATGTTACGATCCCTCCTTGAATAGTTATCTGGCCTGGTTAACTGTAAGTATTTTGTGTATTAGAACTTCTTATTCGGCCGCTTGGTAGATTTATGGTGGTTGAGTTATCTCTTGGGAGGATGCAGTGACAGGGCAGGTAAGATCAGCAAGTCTTGGATCTTGCTCTTGTCAGAATTTCTTGTAATAGGGTGTGGAGAGGCCTTTTTTCTTTCATTCTTAAAGAAGTTTCCCTACAAAGGAGCCAAGAGAGAGTAGGATTGTGAATTTTGGCAAATGATCTGTTGGCCAAAAACTCGTCCAATCAAGCAAAAGGGGGTACGGGGTGACATTTTTAGAGCTTCCAGGGGATGTAGCTAAGACGCCTTCATCCAAATGGCGGTATTATGTGGATTAAAAATCCTGACACTATTGCCTGTTGCTTATTTCTAGATGTTTCTGCACCTTCACCTGTGCCATAGGCTCTTGAGAGTGGGGAATGCACTAGGTCTGACATCAGTGCTCAGCTCTCCCATGCCCATGGCAGTGGGGTTGAACTGCCATCCACTTTATTTTCAGTTCAGGAGCTGGCTTGCAAAAATCCCCAGTGGCTGCTTGAAACAAAATGTTGCCCACTTTCAAATCCTTCTGAGAGCAGGAGACTCCCCATGGCTTTGGGCCTTCACCCCAGAGCAGTGGTGCCTTTTCCAAGGAGATTTAATTAAGCAGAGAGAGCAACAATTTGGAATGAGGCCAAGTTATATATAGTAGATTTTTACTTTTAAAAAGGTTTTAAAAGAAGTAGTTTTTACAGATACGTATATGTGTGCATGTATGTATATACACACGTGTATATAAAGTAAAAACTACTTTTACATGCATTTTTACTTGAGATAGATACACGCACATATTTATAGATCTCTCTACACACACACAAACATATAGATAGATCTATCTATCTATCAAAATATATATATCTCAAGTAAAAACTTCTTATAAAAACTTTTAAAAAGTATGTAGATAGATAAAAAGTAAAAATGACTTCTGCTAAACCCATTAGTTTCTCAGGCTGCTCTGGGCATGCCTTTCTGATCCTTCTCCTATAAAAGGCTTTGAGCTCCTCACATCATCAAGGGTAAGGTGCAATAACAGTGTTACCTGCCTTCAGCTGTTGTTTTTTTTCCTGGAGCATAGGGTTGATTTACAGATTAGTGACCTGTCTTTTTGCTGGACAATAATTACCCATTTGGCTCTGCAAGGACCTAGATTCTGTTCTTTATTGGAGGCCACTTGCTTTGTTCAGATGAGAGTTGTTTATTAATATTATTATTATTTTCCCAAACCAGGAATAAGCCTGGGATTAAAGCATCAGTGTATGGAGAGAAATGGAGGCATGTGGTTTCATACCAAGTTTATTTCTTTTTTTTTTTTTCATATTCACTTCTTTTGCACAACAACAACCTCAAGTTGACAATGAAATGCATGTGGTAGACGTAAAGGAACCAGACAAGGCTCTGTTAGAGTGATGGTAAGTCCATTCATAACACCATTACAGTTTATTATTGAGCTGTGTATTTGGAAAGAAGGAAGATAGCACACACTGTGTCATGTGTGGAGTGCACCCTGCACAAGGCCAATGACACTTACACCCAAACCGTATCCAGAAGAGAACGAGGGCGTCCCTGGGAACTTGCAAACCCCTGAGGTTCTGACCCACCCTCAAGGCAACACCGATCACTTCCAGCCCCCTTCTTGCAGACATGCATGGTATCTTTTGCTGTGCTAAGTATGTGGGGGTTGATCATATAACATTTCAGCACTTACAGTCTCCAAAGCTCTTTGCAAGCATGACTTCATTAATCTTCACAACACCCCTGTGAGGTAGGGAAGTGTCACTGCCCCTTGGGAGATGGGAGAACTGACAGAGACAGGTCCAGGGGCTTGCCAAAGACCGCAAGAACGGTCAAGACGAGGACTTGCACGTCGCTGGTTGCCTTACGCTCAGACCCAACATCTGGAGAAGACTGTCATCTCCATCACCCCCTGTAGGCTCTGCATTAGAGAGACCTAAGTGTTGGCCAGTGCCCCGTTCTACTTTATTTCAAAGACACCTGACTACAAAGGTGGAGGTCATTGGTCCTGAAATGTCATGTCATTCCTTGCATGGTTAACAATAAATATCTATAGCACCATAAGCAGCCATTCCCTGCCTCTTGTTTCAAGTGGTGTTGTGTGTATGTGTGTATATATAGATAGGTTATACACACCTGGCATGTGTCTTGTGCACGCTCTCAGAGCATACACAGCTACGTGCCCACAACCGTTGCAAGTGGGCAAAATAATAACGCAGTCTAGTGGAATGAAACAAAGCCCATGAGATGAATTAAACAGCCAGGGTTAGAAATTCACACTGGCCTAAATGAAAGACAACGTGAATTTTCAAGGAGCAGCATCACCGCTCTTGTCCCCTATTGCAACATGCATGCAGTGGTCTGACTTGCCAGCAGCACAGAAAGCTTACCCTGTAGGGCAACTACCACGCCTTTGCGAGACAAGGTTCACTTTACAACATGACAAAACCATGGGTGGAGTGAGACTGCTTAAAATTAACATTTCTGAGGGCCGGTCCATGGTTAGTTTATGGGCCTCCCATCCTGGAGAGTCTGATGGCTACAGCCATCTGAGCTCTAGCTCTGAATAACAAAGCGAGCAGAAGGTCTAGTATTTGGACCGTGAGAGTGACTGCTCTGGTTCTTGCCCCAGGATTGCTAAACATAAAGGTGTTTTGTGCCAATTGGAAATTCAGTTTATCTCCGGGTTCATTTTTTTTTGTCTAGCAGGCTAGGAAGCCCTGCTTTGTCTGGGAGAAGGGGAAGAATGAGTTTTTTGACATTTGCATGCAGGTGGGTTGGGTTTGGGGTTATTTCCAATCTCAGCTCCCTCCCTGTTGCACCTTTAGTTCCCCTCTGGGACTCTGTTTCCTACTGGTATAACTTCACGGAGTGCCATGAAGCTATAGCTACTCCGAATGTGGCCAGATTTAGAGATGCTCTTACAATAGTGCAATCAGTGATAGCAGCTAGAAAGACCCATCAGTAAGCGTCGGAAAGAAATAATAATAAAGAACCTGGAGCGCCATCCTGAGACGCGTTCCAGGAATTTTGAAATTGCATGCCACAGAAAGTGCCTGAAGGGGAACGGCTGAAAAACTGCAAGAGGAGTGGGAGGAAAGGGAAGGCTTAAAGGAAGTTAATGGGGGAAAAGCCCCTATTCAGGCATAAGCCACCCAGTTGTTAGCAATCCTGGAATTCACCAGGGATGAAATAAGTATAAGCTGCTGCAGGTTTGGGAACTGAAGATCCAAGTGATGTGTGATGCTGTCAGGGACAGCATCGTTCAGGCAGGTGCTCTGCATCTGTCATTTACTTCCCCCACAGCCTGGACCATGCAAAAGTTTTATCAGCAATACAAGCAGGATGTCTTTCCAGGCCAGAGAAATTGCAGGACCAGATGCATGCAGCCCTGGTAATCGGAAATATTGCTCCGATAGACCCAGTGGCACTGAACAAACTAATTTCCCTGACATCCCTGTTCCACCTTCTTTGTCTAGCCACATTAGTCCACCTGGTTTCCCTGACGTGACATATCCCATCGGGTGTGATAAACTCATTACCCTGACATGATGGATTCAAAACTCTGTGACCCTGTTTCTCTACCTGATGCAACGTTTTACCCTGCATTAGTGCATTCTCCAGATATGTCTACTGCACCTTACAGCACCAACGGGGTGGAGGGGAGGAAAATGGGGTTCCCTTAGATCTGCAGGAGCACTGTTCCCTGGGGTCCTAACTTTCCAGACCATCCTTTTATGCAACACTACTGTGAGTGTTTGCTACGGAAGCTACTGCAAGAATAGGTCTCCACCTGAGATCAAGGCTGGCCTTCAGCTATGTGGAGGGTACCACTAGCTGGATTTGAACTGCCAGCTTAACCACAAGCGTCTGAGATGGAAAGTAAGAAGCAGAGACAAAAGTCCTGGGACCCAGTAACCATACAGGTAAGGGAAAGGTTTCAAGCAAGCACAATTTGCCACTCCCCGCTTTCTCCGATACTGCATGCAAAATCCTCCACTTTTGTCAGCCTTGTTCTATGGTAACAGGAAACAGAGCAGATTGCTGCCTCCAAGCAGGAGTGGCCTAACACTAAACTGCACCCCAAATTTAGGGCTCCAGGGCATCTGCCCCAGTTTTAGATCTCTCCCAGCCCCCCTTTCCCCTCCACTCCTTGAATTAACTCTCCCAGTTCCCATCCTCCCTGCCTGAAGGACCCCTGTCTCCCCCCTATTTCTAAGCCCTTGCTTTGCTTTCCATATGAAGCAGTCCAGCCACCTCAAGAGGCAATGGTCAGCTCTGCATTAGGCTGCCACTTGCCTCTCTGACCCCCTGCTCACTCTGAGCTCAAGGACAAAGACCTCCTACCTTAATCTGGCCCTGCCTCCAGGTTCATTTGAGCCTCACTGGAGAATCGGAGTGAAAATGGTTGTTTCTTTGTGTTTGTTTTAAACTCCTGCTTATGAGTACAACATTTGTGATCATCGTCATCATAATTAATAATCATAGTACTAAAAACAGTATTTACAACAAGCTCCAGGTCAGTATTACACACCAAGCAAACACTCAGCACCACAGAGTAGGACAGGGTTAATATCTGGCAGACACCTTCTCAGATCCCACCGGTGTGGGACACAGACATTTGACATTTTCAACCATTTCTTACACACAAACATTTTATTTAAATTACTTTTTTAATTATTTTTTTTAAACTTTTTAAAATTTATTGTCACTATATGGATGAGATGATTCTGCATTCTACACAGATGCTTATCTAAGACAGCTGCTACTTATAAACTGATCATTAGCTACTGTTAAGAAATTCAACCCTCAGTTTCTTTTTTTTTTCCCCTCCCTGCCCGAAACTCACTTCTTGTCCCTCAACACTGCTGAAGCCTGATAACAGTCCTGCCCTCCCTCAGACCTTGGCAGAGGGCTTTGTAGATAAGCTAGCCCTTCCATTTTGGAGCAGAGCTCTCCCCTAATATCCAAAGCCTCGTGGCCAGAGAGGGACCTTCTCTCATTAAAAGGGGAACGTATTGTGTGGTTGACTAGCAAGAGGCTAGGGGCTTTGCTTCCAGCAGCTGCTGCTGCTGCCTCTTTGGCATACTGTTGCGTTCTTGTGACAGTCAAGGAGGGTGGGGGAGATTCCTGACATGCAGCCAGCACATGGTAGAAGGAAAACCGATAGCTTGGAACCGACTCAGCAACTATTATTTAGACAGGGCATGGAGGCAAAGGGAAGCTTGACACCTGATATGGACTCCCTGTCTGCCCTGGCTTCCTGTCCCTACCTGGCTCCTGTAGTCTAAATGGTGTATCGCATCTGCTCACCCCACCTCTGGCTTGGAGCATGCCCTATGCATCCCAAGTCACACAACCGCCAGGAATGAAAAAGGCAACTGCCTCAGTGCCTGTCCATGCCCACTGTGTCCTAGCTGTTTGCATAAGCTACTCCTGGTGATGCTGACTCCACAGAGCCCCCCTGGAGGAGCTGCAGGACTTGGCTGCAGAGAGGCTCTTTGGAGACGGTATGCAGAGAGGACACCTGTCACAATAACAGTTGACTCTTGTTCCTCTGGATGCCCCCTTGGCTCACTCTGGGTTCCCAAATAGCATCCAGTATGGCCACAGAGAGAGGGAAGTTTGTGGTACAGTGAGGGTAAGGATCAGTCCTGGAGTCTTTCCTGTATTTGTGCCTACATCCCTGCTCCAAGCACCCTGCTACTTTGCCCTGGGAATGCCTCACGAGTTGGGAAGACAGGTAGTGGTGTGCTGTCAGAGTTGGAAGGAGAGGACTCTTTGCTACTCAATGGTCCAAAAGGAAAGAGTTGCATTGTTCTCCTCAGTGAAATCCTGCCAGGAGAGGGTGTTCCTGCAAAAGCAGAGTCCTGCCTGAACATCCTCTCTCAAGAGGCTTCACTAGGGTTAAGATGGCAACTCCTTGCACTTTAGACATAGGCATACAATTGCCAGTCTGGTTATTTGGCCAGATCCAGTGCTAGCATTAAAAGTCTGCCACCTTTTTGATCCATGGGATGCAATAGCAGCCTCCTCACTGTTCGGCACGTCCTCTGATTCAGCTACTTCTGTTGGCATACACCATGATGTAAGACGGGAAGAGAGCCCACAGGCTGCTGTAGCTCTCCATTTACATCAGAAAGTATTACCAGCTATCTGAAAGAAGAGGTTTCTGCCCCCTGCCTCCAAGCACTGCTGTAATCCATTCATCCTTACTTCTAGGAAGAGACACAGCTGTCTTAAAGTGGGCTTTGGAAGTCAGAGCTAGAAGAATTAAAGCCTTGCAATTCTACCTCCATGGCTAGACAAGCAGCAGGTGAATGAACATCTCTTCACTGCTCCTGCCCTCTGCCTGGCAGTCTCCCTTCCTACCCCACCTTCTCCAAAGCTGCAGTTTTGGAAATACCATTGAAAGGATTGCTGTGTCCCTTCCTATAATCTGCTGCCCAAGAACCGCAGCTCTGTGGTTAACCTGTGATCTTTGGTCCAAACGTCTCTCCTGGAATAGTACTGAAGAGTCTCATCCATCTTTGGGAAGAGAGAAGGATGAGTCTCCCATATCACAGAGTTTTGCTAAAGGTCATGGGCTGCTTGACAATTGTGCGCTCTGTTTTACTTTTTAATTAATGGTGTGAAATTTAGTGTTTGTGAAAAGTGCAGGATTGACCGCCCTGGAGACTGCCCCCTCTTTACCCGTAACGCTGGGTTCACTATGGGCAGCGGCAATACAAGCCTCCTCAGCACTGCCTCTACCAGTGAGAGGGCTGTTCAGTCTCCAGGCTCATTCAATCTGTGGCCATCCAGGATATCAACTAGTGCTTCTTGTGATGTGGGCACCTGTCCACCAGGCTCTAGTCTCAGACCCTTAGCTAATTGCACCTGGGTTACCAAAGAAACAGAGAACAATGACTTCAAGTTGCTATCTACCTGGGCTGGCTTCAAACCAGTGACCTACAGCTTAAAGATTCTGCACACCCTAACTCATTCCCTGAGCCATCCCAGCCTCCTCCTATCCCTTCTCCTACCACTAAAAACAATGGATCCATCAATGACCCCCTCTCACAACAATGTACCCTTCACTATTTACTCCCTTTTGTTTTTTCAACTGCTGTCTGGCTCAAAGCACAAACCAAAAGCCCTGGATAAGAAATCCGCATCTCTATGACACTGCTGGTTGAATTTATTAATATCTTAATCCTTTACATCAGTTTAAGAAAGATATTTTAAAAAAGGATGAAACCCCAAAGAGAAGCTGATTGATTGGTTAATTGTTTGATTCTATATTTCATGTGAACTAGTTGCTACTCTGCTTAGAGGTCCCTATGGCCTGTGAGTCCCCACAAGTACTGAACAGTTAAGGATGCAGAGAGAGAGAGAGAGAGAGAGAGAGAGAGAGAGAGAGAGAAGCGTGTAGCTGGGGAACTAACACCAGGAGGAAATGGCAAACCGAATGTTGCATCTAGACAAACAAAATAAAATGTGTTGGGTTGGTTGGTTTGTTATCAGGAATCATGTGCTAGATGTGTAGAAAAGCCCTTTATCCAGAGATCTCCTCCCGCTGTTCCTTGTTCCTGCGAACCTCAGCTGCATGCAGTTCCTGCAAAGACACAGAAAGCATTATGGAGTCCACAGGCTGAGTAGGGCGATCCAGAAGCTGTTTCCCATCTCCCCTCAGTTTCACCTACAGCTCTAGAGTTTTTGCTGTTGTATTTCCATCTGTTCCTCTCCTGTTCCTCAAAGGCCTTGCACTAATTAAGAAAAATACACTAGGTCAAGTTCATAGTTGGCAGAGCTCTGCTGATATCACAGGAGTTGTCCCTGGGATAAGTTTAGCTCTGTCCTTGGCACAGTGAAGGTGACCAGGTGCATCACACAAGTGTGTGAATACGTCTGCAGCACATGCTCCAGAGCTGGCTGAAGCTGTCTTATTAGGGAGCCCCTCACAGACACCAGCCTCCTTCCACTGGGGCCAGACAAAGCAGTGGTGCCTGGGGAACCTACAACAGGAAATCCACGCTCCAGAGTGCAGGATAGGAGGCTCGAGTTTACTGCTGCCTTTGGGCTCTGGCACACGGGGCTCAACAGAGATGAGGAAGCCTCTACACTGATGCCATGGACACCTCCTGTCCACCTTACCGCACGCTGCTGGAGAATATCTGCTCTGACTAGCTGTCAGACGTACATATCAAACAGAGTCCCTTCCCCTTTAAGAATCATATTAGAACAATGTGCAGCAACAAAAGACCAAAAGAAAAGGAAGAAAGCAATGGAGTAGGGGTGTCCAGAGAATCAGAGAAAATTAGAATTGGAAGGGACCTCAGGAGGTCACATCTAGTCCAACCCCCTGCTCAAAGCAGGATCAGCCCCAACTACATCATCCCAGCCAAATCTCTGTCCACCCAGGTCTTAAAAACCTGCAAGGATGGAGATTCAAGCACCCCTGTGGGTAACCTCTTCTAGTGCTTTACGGCCCTCCTTGTGAGAAAGTTTCCCTTACTATCCCACCTCAACTTCCCTTGCTGCAATTGGAGAGCCGGGCATTGTAACGTGACACTGCATACCTGCAAAGGGGAAGGCTGTATGAACTTGGGAAAATGGCAGGACAAGAAAAGCAAATTGTTCCTGGAGTTCTGCTCCAATGCAAACATCCCAGCTCTATCGGGGTGAGCAAGCCTGGCTACATATGCTGGCGCCAGCAACCTTTATGTCCTAAGCAAGGATTCCTAGCCCTAGAGGTGTTGGGACATGGTATGTGGGTGGGGGAGACAAGCACTTGCCTTCTCACGAAGTCGCTCCCTCAAGGCAGCTAGGTGTGCTTCACGGATCTCCCTGCTCAGCTCCATCTTGTAGTTGAGCTTCTCCTCAGCCAGCCGGCTGAAGTTGTTGTTCTCCTCCAGGGCCTTGTGCAGCACCTCCCGCTCATGCTCCCGTTTCTCCGCCAGCTGCTTCAGCACTTGGGCCTCCTGGGTCTGTAGGAAACCAACAGACCAGGTGGTGGGGGGAAGACGGGAGGAGAAAAACCCTTCTTACTTTCCTTGATCTGATCCTGGACATCTCCACAGAGATGACATGAACATGCTCCTTGCTAGTCTGTGCACAAACTAGCTGCTCAGTTGCAGGATTTGCACTTGGTATCTGAACTAATCAACCCATCCTCTGGTCTCAGCTGTTGCCTCCTTTCCAAAGGTGTCATGCTCAGGAGGCCAACCCTCTCCATTCATTAATCAGTGCTTCAGTGGTAGTTACACACCTCACTCATGTTCTTTCTGCCCCATGAAACTTTTCTATTCTAGACCACTTGGGCTGGATTTTCAAAGCTCTAATTCAGGCAGACAGATAATGATATTCAATTACTGCTGTGTGAATAGAATGGGGAGTGAAGTTTACAAGCAGGCAGTCTGCCTAATGTTTTGAACCTCTTCAACTTCTTTTCCTCTTACCCACCCACAGCATTGTGATTTGTTTTTCTCTGAAGCGCCTCTAGTTTTCCAACATTTTTTCTTCAAAAGATTTTTAAATATGCTCGTAAATGGAATGTGAAAACAGCATTGCCAGTCACTAAAAAACAATAAAATAGCAAGGCACCGATTCTAAGCTCTGTTTAGATGCATGGCTTTTTGTTCTTGTTATAGCACCCCGTGTATCACCTGTGTAATGTACTGAGAGACTCTAAACGGAAGGACCAAAGAATTCAACAGACCTGTGCATTTTTAAGGTCACCAGGGAACTTGTGATGATCTAGCCTAACCTCTGCTATAACACAGGCCAGAGGTGACTTCTGCTACTTGAACTGAACAAGAATATGTAGGAAAACACTTTCCAATCGCACTGCCTGGCTCCTAAGTATTACCAAAAGAACCAGTCTCCCCCAACAATATGTTTTGCTTCAGGGTTCTTTTTTCTCCTCAGTGATAACAAGGGACTGATTTTAAAGCTTGCTTAAAACATGACTGATTACATATATCAGCATGAACATGTCCCTAGAATATCCTCTTACCTTCCTCCTCTCCTCTGCAGCCTCCAGCCTCCTCTGAAGCTCCTCCAGAGACAGATCCTTCTTCTTTGGGGGAGAGGACAGGATTGGGCTCTCAGGGGATAAGTCCGAAGGGGACTTCAGAATCACTTCGAAGCTCTGGCCAGACGCCCTCTTGTCCAGCTGCTTCACTTCCATATCTTTGTGAGAAGAACACGAGCATTGTCATGGGCTGTGGGACACTCAGAGCAAAGCTACAGCACCTTTCTGAAGCTGCTAAATCATGCCCTGAACTTAGTTCCCTCAATATGAGCTGGTTGTGATGATACTGTACTTCCAAACAGGACTTTACTGGTTAAGTGTCCTGTCACTTCAGCCTCACCTGGAGAGATTCAGAGGGATTACCGTGGGAGCACAGAGAACCTTCTTTCCATCATGGGCCTGATATGATTGCTTTCATTGGATCAAAGCCCATATGTATCTCTGTTAAGCTCTTATTACATTCAGTGGGAAGTTTCTCCCTGACCTCTGTATCTCCAATACTGTTGCTCCACTTCTTTATCCATTTTCTGTGTAAAGTCCTTGCACATACACAGAAAACAATTCTGCTGCTGGATCTTTCCTTTCAGACAGAATGTAAAACCCAGGTATTGACCACCTCGGATTATTAAAAGTGTTATGGTTCTTTTCATAAGTGTAAGGGTGTTAATTCCAGTGACCCAGCAGGATTTCATCCTGCCTCCCTAGACTCCCCCCTGTGGTGTCAACTGGATTCCTCAACTGTCTGACAAACCCATTGCTGTAACATTTGACAATGATGTTCCTTCTCTTGGTTCTGCATTGTCATTGTCCCTTTTACCAGCAACAAATGACTGGCTTCAAATTCTCACTAGCTAATACAATTTCTTTTACATCCCAATAATAAGCGGACCATGGCTGAAGACAACCCAGAAATGCTGAATTGCTGATAACATCTAAATTCCTAGCCTAGGATAAGTGAGAGCACTCTTTGGTAACACACAGAGTTTCCTAGTAGGTGAATGTGGGTCAAAGATCAAAGGCCAGTAATACAGAAACTTGGTGGGAAACACTCTCCACAGACTGGGCCCAGCCTAATGGACTGAGGCACTCCCAAGTTTCCAGCAGCTGCCTGCAGAACAGCTCCATAGTGGACTCTGCAGGTTGTGTCTGCATGAGTCGCTTACCTCCATATTGATAGATGGTATTGGGGTGCGGCTGGGTGTGGAAACAGGAGCAGATCAGGGAGAGCAGAGAGAGTTCCTTCATTTTCTCCTTGTAGGCTGAAAAATAAGAATGGCAATAGTGGTTTAATGGCAATACTGTGTCTTTCTTCCCTGAGCTAGCTGAGCTAATATCTCCTACATTATCAGCTGGTGGTACAGGAAGCTCCACAGGGAGATCCATAAAGTGGTTTTACCATTTTTGCAGATGCAAGTCCCCAGGAAGGTGTTTTCCCTCCAAGCAGAAGAAGGGGGGTTAGGAGCGGATACATTTCAGCTCTTGTAAATAATCACGTGGTGGAAGCTGCCCAGATACTTCCCCTTCCACAGTTCCAAACTCAGCAGGAAGAGTGACAGTCATTGCTAATCAGCACCTATAAATGGTTCATGAGCCTTCATTGCAGACGCCTGCAGCCTAACAATGAGGCACCTCCATTTAATGGTGCAGCATTTCTGGTTTTGCTAATAAAAGAAGACATGAGGCCAGATCTGTGGAAACTAGAGGCAAGTTTAGGGAAAGAAAGGAATGGAGTGCTGCTCAGAGCTGCTCTCAAGATATACGCACAGGCCTTTTCAATGTTGCTGTCAGGGTGTGCAAAACCAAATACAAATGTGTTTCTTTCTATGTCCTACAGCTACAGACCAGGGGCAGAGTTTGGGGCTTGGCCTGCCAGAGAATAAGTGATGCTAAGAGCTGTCCTTGTTGCAATATGCTGATACAAAGGATGTTGCCTTGGAATGACTGGGTGATGGGAAGGATGAAGCTCGTAGCCCCTGGGAGATAACCTGTTGCATGTGCCTCTAATCAGGGGTGTTCTCATAGTTTCATAGTTTCTAGGGTCGGAAGGGACCTGAGCAGATCATCTAGTCCAACCCCCTGCCATGGCAGGAAGAGCACTGGGGTCAAATGACCCCAGTAAGGTGGTCATCCAACCTCCTCTTAAAAACCCCCAGGGTGGGAGCCTGCACCACCTCACTTGGAAGCTGGTTCCAGACTCTAGCCGCCCTGACCGTGAAGTAGCGCCTCCTGATGTCCA